TAAGGAGGTTGAGCATGACCTTAAGTGTCTTTTGGCCATTTGAACTTTTTCTGTTGAGAATTCTCTGTTCAGCTCAGTGCCCCATTTTTTAATTGGGTTAATTAGCATTTTAAAGTCTAGTTTCTTGAGTTCTCTATATATTTTGGAGATCAGACCTTTGTCTGTTGCGGGGTTGGTGAAGATCTTCTCCCAGTCAGTAGGTTGCCTTTTTGTCTTAGTGACAGTGTCCTTTGCTTTACAGAAGCTTCTCAGTTTTAGTAGGTCCCATTTATTCAATGTTGCCCTTAATGTCTGTGCTGCTGGGGGCTCTCACAGTTTTTATGAGTCACTGAAGAACGTTGTGCTCCAGCCAATGGCTCCATACCTATGAGTATAAGGGCAGTGCAAACTGGACTCTGGATTATTAAAAAGAAAAAAAAAAGGATGGGAAGTTGTGCTTGGGTGGGCAGCTGGAGGGATCTGAGAGGAGCTAGGAGGGAGTGGGGATTTCAAAACATTGATAAAATGTTACATTAAAAAAGTACTTTGTGATCAAAACCTAGGCAAGATCAAGGCTGTGAAACTGGACATAGATGGGGGAGGGACTCATGAAGTCCAGCCTCTGGAAGAGACATTTTCACTGTTGAGAGTCGCTGGGGAAGGAGGCTCAGTTCCCTTTAGGGAAGTGGCTCTTGTTAGTTTGTCCATACTGCAGTGGCTGGTCCTATACCTGGACACTTAAGGATAGCCCTAATTAGCGACCAAGGAAAGGGGATATGGTGTTGGAAGGAGAATATGATGGGGCGGGTGGTGGTGAGGAGATCTGGAAGGAACTGGAGAGTAAGTGAGGAGTCGGTATGATTAAAATGCATCATAGACACGTGACATTCTCAAAGAAGAATAATTGTAGAAAGAACCCTGTGATCGTCCCAAACTGTGTTATCTTGGGGACTTGGGATGGTGGTGTCTGCATTTCCCAGTATTCGTCTAAGTTTAGGGCTGTTAAGTTACAGACTTTGAACTGGAGTCTCCCAAGTTTTAATGTAAACTTGGTGTGTAAACAGTCCCTAGTAAGCTCAGTTTATGAACTGCTAGTCAACCAGCTAACTGTTAGCTTCTAAGTAATTATTAAAGAATGGTCATTCTGCTACTTTGTAGCTTTGCTCTATTTACAGGTATGATAATATCTTTAACATTTTGCTTTTGTTGTGCATGTAGACATGGTGTATGTGGGCTTGCATGTCACGGATGCGTGTGAAGGTCTGAGGATAACTTTGTGGAGTTTCTTCTCTCTTACTACCTTTATGTGGGATCTGTGAATCTCAGGTTGTCAGGCTGTGTGTGGAATACCTTAACCTCTGAACCATTTTCCCTGCCAATATATATATATATATTAAACATTTATTTATTATGGATACAACATTCTGTTTGCATATATGCCTGCAGGCCAGAAGAGGACATCAGACCTCATTACAGATGATTGTGAGCCACCATGTGGTTGCTGGGAATCGACTTGGGTCCTTTGGAAGAGCATGCAATGCTCTTAACCGCTGAGCCATCTCTCCAGCCCTTGCCAATATATTTTTAATTGAGTAAGTAAATACATAGTCCATTCTAACATTCTTGTTTCCTCGAGAATAAATAAATGAGTATGCATCCAAACTCATGTGTCTGTACACCTAAAAGAACCAGTTTTGCTATCTGTGAGTTACATTCAGTAAAACTGACTTTAAGAAAAAGGAGGAGGAGAAATGAGTGATTAAAATGTCAAAAGAAAAACCCTCTTTATAAACCATACAAGAAGACTGAGATGTTTCCATTCGATATGACATTGGGCATTTTACAGGGAGCAGTGGCCATAGACCTGGGGAGGCAGAAGCCAGAATGCTAAGGGTTGAGACATAGGTCAACCAATAATTAATGGTTGCCTCCCAGTATCTATTTTTCCCCTTTCCTGGGAGTACAAACTCTCTAATTTTGGTCGTGTTCTTGGCCATGCCGAATGAGGTCTGCTTTGCCCAGTCTCTCTGAAAACTTAATTGTGAAACCATGTGACTGAACTGTGGACAAAGAGGTTTGAGTGGAAGACTCCTGAGAGCCTTCCTGGGAGGCAGCTGGCACACATCCTTGGCCTTTCTTTGCTCCTTTCCCCTCTGCGAGGGTTGAAATGGAGACATGAAGGCTGGAGCTGCTGAGGCCGAGTGGGACTATGGGATGATTTCGGGAAGGAAGTCCACATAGAATGGCGAAAAGTGAAGGATCCCGGGTCTTTTAGCTTTTAGAAAACACTTGGGAGGTTAGCCCAGAACTCTGAATTTTTTTTAAATTTATTTATTTATTCAGGATTTCTGCCTCCTCCCTGCAACCGCTTCCCATTTCCCTCCCCCTCCCCCGATCAAGTCCCCCTCCCTCATCTGCTCAAAGAGCAATCAGGGTTCCCTGACCTGTGGGAAGCCCAAGGACCGCCCACCTCTATCCAGGTCTCCAAAGGTGAGCATCCAAACTGCCTAGGCTCCCCCAAAGCCAGTACGTGCAGTAGGATCAAAAACCCACTGCGATTGTTCTTGAGTTCCCAGTAGTCCTCATTGTCCGCTATGTTCAGCTAGTCCGGATTTATCCCATGCTTTTTCAGACCTAGGCCAGCTGGCCTTGGTGCAGAACTCTGAATTTTTAAGAGTGGAAGACAACCGTGAGAGGAGATGTCTCAGCTGATAAAGTACTTCAACGCAAGCATGAGAGCTAGCGTCTGGGTCCCCAGCAGCCATGTAAAGAAAGCTGATGGAACCGCACTGATTTCCAACTCCAGTGTTGGGAAAGCAGAGGAGCTGATTTTTGGAGCTGTCTGGCCAGCCACCCTCACCAATCAGTGAGCTTCAGGGTCAGGGAGATCCTGCCTCAAAAAAATTAAGTGGAGAGTAACTGAAGGAAATACTCAGAATCAACTTCTGGCCTCCACAAGCATGTAGGCTTGTGCACGCGAACACACACACACACACACACACACACACACACACACACACACACACTTGGAGTAGAAAATCAACAGTTTTTCAGTTTAAACCTCACCTGTGCTCAAACTTGCACCAAACCTATGACTGGGAGGAGACCGGAAGTGGTGGGCGTCCGTCTGGTGAATACAGAGAGCAATGGAGGGGAAGTGTCAAGGTAGGATGGCGCTGGAAAGCCAATCTGGTGATAAAAGGCTTTGATAATTTTCAGACCGCAACAGCAGAGTTTCCGTGGGGGACAGAGAATCTACGTGTAAAGAAGCTCCACGAACAGTCCCTGTTCCTGAGCCTTTCCGACTCACTCACTAGAAGGAAAGCAGGAGCCTTCATTGCAGTTACAGCTCAACCCTGGTTTTCTTGTCCTTATGATGGGTGGGGCTCTTTGCAACCCACAGACCTCTCTTGATGCTGACTGCCTGTCTGTGTCCTCTGACCTTTCCAGTCTGGCAGAGGCTTTCCTTGGCACCTGGCCAGGCAGGTCACTCAACTTTTTTTTTTTTTTTTTTTTTTTTTTTTTTTTTTTTTTTTTTTTTTTTTTGAGGCTTATCTCACGCTGTAGCCCAGACTAACTTTGAGAACTTGCGGATCTTCCTTCCCTGCCTACCCAGTCTGGGTTGGGATTACAGGGGTGCCTACCATTACACACAGCTAACCCTTTTAAAAGACGCAAATTGCCAAGAAAATCACTCAGAAGAAAAAAAATCAATGATTCTTGAATTATTCACAGGGTTCTGAAAATCTCACAGATTAACCTGAGATTATGAGACAGAGAGAGCATGCTCTGATCAAAAAATTATTATGCACCTGTGTACATGTTTTGTGTATGCATCTGTGGGCTGATGGGCGCGGTGGAAAACCAGAGGACGACTTTATGGAATTACTACTTTCCTTGGACCTTGATTGAATTCAGGTGGCCAGGCTTGCATGGCAAGCGCCTTTACTCACTGAGCCATCCCTCTGACCTTATATATATGTTTGTTTGTTTAATAGTAACATCTTCAGCCATGGTTTTTCTTTCTGGGCACTGTCTTTCTCCTTCAGCCTGGAGCATGGCAGAGACTGATGACTTTGCTTGGGCAGCACCCTCTTATAGATGGATCAGGGAATACATGGAGACGCTGAAGCTTGTCCCACCTGTTCATTGCAGTGGGCGAGGAACCTGCTCGTATAGAACTCTTTGAGTGGGCACAAAGCAGGGAATTCATGACTCCGGGGAGCTTATTACCACAGGGTGGGGCTGAGGTAACTTGGAAAATTATATTCAATGTAACTCTTCAAGAAAAACAGGCCAGGGATATCTGAAGAATATCTTCCCAGCGGGCAGGAAGTCGGAGAATATGGAGTGACACCGAGCAGGGCATGGGATCGCCCAAGTGGAAACACCGCATGAACTTGCGGCAGCGCAGCTGGAGTTTTCCTGGTACCTCCCGCAGACACCGGCTGCACTGGCATAATGGCGTTTCGCAGTCCCAGACAAGCCCCGCTGAAGGCAACGCTTGCTGTTTTGCAGAGACCAGAAGCCTCCTGCAACTTCTAGGCGGCGACAACTGCTACCTTGCCAAGGACTCCATCGTTTCCCTACGCCCCCTAGGACGTGCCACCCTGCGCCACCGCCCCTCGCCCCCTCCCACGCTTCTCCCGGAGCTCTGCGCGGCGGCTCCGCCGTCGGTCCCAGGGGAGTCGGGAGCGCACCTGCAGCATCCGGCGCCCAGGGGACCAGGGCGCGGGGTAGCCGCCTCGCCCGGCGCACGGCTGGTGGCGCGCTCCCTTCCGGATCCCCTTAAGTGAAGAGGCTCGGTCTAGCACCCGGTGAATAACGTTATCCAATTGCTTCCCGTTTTACTCGCAGGCTGGGAGCCGCGAGAGCCAGAGTATTCCCTTCGCCAGTGCTCCAGGGGAGGAGGGAGGCGGGCGGGGACCGGGGAACGGCTGGGCTGCTCCACCTTGCAAGTGGCCAGAGCACCCCGGGCAGAGGCCAGCAGCGACTGGAGTCCCGCAGCAGTGCACCGGGCCGCCCGGATCCCCGCGATGGAGTGAGTATCCCCGCGCATAGCTCGGTGCCTCCCTGGGCCTGTTGCTATGGTGACCGATCTCCGCTCATCTCTGTCCAGTCTGGGTGTTTAATTTCAGTCCAGTGTGTTCTTCTTGCTGTTTCTATAGCAGCCGCTGCGGAGGGGGTATCGACAGCCCCCGAGCTGTGGGGATTTGTGCCACTGCTTTGGGGGCACATGGGGTGTCATGTTGCTAAGGAGCCAGACCTGTTTTAAGCTTCTCTGGGTCCTTGCTCTCGACCTTGCGCTTCGTGGGGAGTTGGCTGCAATAGCCATTACTTCCGATTCCTAACCATGTCAGCATTATTGGACTGCAGTTAAGAGGCGTGTGTGTGTGTGTGTGTGTGTGTGTGTGTGTGTGTGTGTACGCATATAGGGGGGTGTCACTGCGGATCCGAAGCAAACGTGATTCCATAAGAATGTGATGGAGGGCTGTTGAGTTGTGAGAGATATAAGCCAGACTGGCTACTAAAAGCCACCGGAGGACCCAAAATAATTGATTTGCTCCTGGGGTAATCAGAGAAATAAGACAGAAATGTCCTAGCAGCAATGACCGTCTTGGGTATCACCCGCATTTCACGGGGGGTGGGGTGGGGAAAAGATGGCAAGGAGACAAGAGAGGCGGTAACCAGAAAAAGACACAATGAGGTCTCCGGGTGTGGACCCAGACTAGGGCTGCGTGTTTCTTTCTACCTTCCCAGTCGCTCTCCCAGGCTGATATTGCAGCAAGGTCCCCGTGACAGGCGTCAGCCTGCTGCTCCAAGAAAGCCAGCAATTACATCTTTGCTCACTTGGTCATCTTCCCCCTCTCGCTCTCTTCCCACGGGTACTCGCTGACTTTGAGGTCGTAGGAAATCATATTTCAGGTTGGAGATAATGTCATGCTTCCAGATACTAGGATCTCCATGCCAAACCCTAAGACTCTTGATTCAGCTTTTATCCTTCTGCATAACCAATTGTGCAGATGTAATTTAATCCTCACAGAGTGGAAAGGAGAAGCGGAGATGATGTGGCACATTAGGAGTGAGGGGTTGTAGGAAATTATTCTTGGGTTGGCAACCGGCATTGTTGAGTTCCCATGCCAGTGTTTTAATGGCTGTGAGCCTTAGTTTCCCCAATCACAATCAGAAAAAGACATCCCTTATTATTTAGAGTTACTGAGAAGATGAGATATTATTTGCTTCTCTTCTAAATTTATAAATTTTATAAATTTATAAATTGTAAAATCAAATAGAGGAATTGGACATTAATGGCTGGTCTCCAGAGTCAGGTTGTCTGGGACTGAAGCCTTTGACACGTTGCTGAACAATGTCAATCTCTCTGGGTTTCATTGCCCCCTTCTAAAAAATGGAACAATAGTAGTTCTTTTCTTTGAGTATAAATTAAGCAATTGATATACATCTATAAATACATATGTGTTAATACACATGCATTTTAGAACAGACCCAGAGCAAAGTATGCTTGCTAAGTATCACACAGTGTCTGTCATTTAGTATTATTGTTGTGGTCTCCAGCCTTTCTGTTGACAGCTTATGGAGTAGTAGATTGGTAGAAAGCCAGTTTTGGGACAGTTTTCATAATGTAAAATATTCATTTACTTATTTCATGTGTGCACATGCCTCAACATGGGCATGGAGGTCAGAGGATTGCTTGTGAGAGCTGGTTCTCTCCTCTCACGGAGTGGATCCTGGGTCAGTAGGTTTGGTATTAGCTATGCTAGCTCTCCAACCCACAGATAATGTACACAGAAATCCAATGTCCTAAGGGCAACTGAACCTGCTGCAGCCCCCATGACGACATTGTGGGAGTGTGGACTTGGGCGAGCTCCTGGTACTCAGTACCGTTATGGGGCCTCTGAGTGTTCATCCCCGTTGGTCATATTCTTCACTATGGAGACTGCCCTTGACCAGGGATTGAACGCTCACCTAGTTGTCTCATAGTGCAGGGTTGAGGACAGCCTGCTTTTGTTTTGAGGATGAGGCACAGTAATTTTCATCCCCACACTAATGTCTCTCTCCTAGACTTAGCATCTGGTCTTCATAACTGTGGCACACAGCCTCAGGACTTCACACTGTTTCCTCCGTGGTTGGTACCAGGTGTGCCTACCTCAGAACCCCCACCCCCCATCTCTCTCTCCTTTTGGGTATGCTATGTGTTCTTCTACTCTGCTTAGCTTGACTTTGGGCTTTTCACCCCATGTGACATTTGAAAGTGCTCTGTGAACCTGCTTAATTTTCAACTGTCTGCCGCACTTCTTTCCTTCCTTAGGGTCATTAATATTCCACTCTTTTCTTTCCCTCACAATACTACATTTTCTGTCCACCCATGGGCCTAACAACATTTCTCAAATGTTAAGCCTTGTGCTTCTGCCAATCCAATCTCACCCCTTCATCTCATCCCAGGTAGCCAGGCTGCTTTGAATATGAGTGAGATATAGTTTTAGTTCCCTTCACTTATTGTGTCCAACTTGCATTTGTGAAAAAACAATTAAAAGAAGGAATGAATTTGAATTAGCTTTCCCATTTAATCAATGGGTATTTGTTGAGATTAGCAGTGGTTGATAAAACAGTCATGATTCTCATAGCATGGAGTTCAAAACCTAATAAGAGCAGATGCTAGCCCACTAAGCACAGGAGCCATGCGATACTAACCCAGTAAACCCAGGAGCCATGTGATGCTAACCCAGTAAACCCAGGAGCCATGCGATGCTAACTTAGTAAGCACAGGAACCATGAGATGCAAGACGCAATACAGACTGTGAGAAGAAAGGACACAGAGGAAATGATAGGAAGAGTAAGGGCGTTGGATCAACCCGTTAGAGAAGCCTCCTTGAGAAGCTGATACTTAATGTGAGATCTGAGGGATGAGTTAGGGTTGCCGAGTAGCACATGAAGGGAAGAAATAGCTGGAGCTGTGACAGTAGCATGTGCCAAGGCCCGGAGGCAGGAGAGCTCGCCACGCTGGGAGAACTGAAGGAAAGGTGGTGTGCCTGGAGCTTTAAAGACGGAGCAGAAGGTGGTCCAGGGATGAGGCTGGAGAATGTGTGTGTGAGTGTGTATGAGAGTGTGAGCATGCGTGTTAGTGTGTGTGAGCATGTGAGAGTGTGTGTGGATGTGAGTGTATATGGATGTATGAGAGTGTGGGCATGTGTGTCTGTCAGTGTGTATGTGAGTCTGTGTGAGCATGTGAATGTGTGAATGCATGTGTGTGTGTGTGGTTGTGAGTGTGAGTGTATATGAGTGCATGAGAGTGTGGGCATGTGTGTCTGTCAGTGTGTTTATGAGTCTGTGTGAGCATGTGAGTGTGTGAATGCATGTGTGAGAACGTGTGAGTGTGTGTGAATGTATATATGTGTGTGTTTCTCTTCTATTGTGATTAAAAATATGCTGACCAAAATGACTTACATGAGAAAGGGCTGATTTGGGCATGTAGCTTCAGTAGGGATAAGTCTATCATGGCAGAGAAGGCGTGAGGCCAGTCTGTCACTTTGATTCTCCAACTAAAAGAACAGCAGCTTGGGCCAGGCTGTAAATCTTCAAAGCCTGCGTCATTGATAAATCCTTCCAACAAGGTTCTGCCTCCCAAAGGTTCCATAACCTTCCCAAATAGTGCCACCACCTGGTGACCAAGTGTCCAAACACATGAGCTGGTAAGGGGTTTAAACCACATCAGGGAAGGTCACAAAGAAGTTAATACTTCATGAAGACCTCAAGGACTTCAGATTTCATCACGAGTGTTTCAGAGGGTCCCTGAAGACAATGATAAAACTTCAAGGCTAAAGATTATATAAAACCCCTCAACTGTTTTTTCCCCTCTTTTCTTCTGAAGGTACTTAAAACAGGTGACTTAGAAACTGTCCTAGCCAAGTCTTTGGAAGCTGTAAGCGTCCGCCACAGGGAAGGGGACAATCAATTTAAAAATACAGCTGCCTGCGGGCCAGAATCTGATAATCTTGGACGAACCAAGGTTGTCAAACAAAATCAAAGTATATGCAATTAAAAGGAAGCACATTTATTCATGTGCATTGTTGGCTTTGATCAAATAAGAGCTTCTTAAGTTGGGTAAGGGAAGACTTGGTAGTAACTAAGATCCGAGGGTGGCTAACCACTCAGTTTAGAATGTTCCTTGCTGGAGTGCTCTCTTCAGGATATGTGAATCTGAGAAGCTCCATTATGGGAGATCAGAGGCAGGGATGGTGTGGCCTGTGCAGAGCCGGGGCTTGGCTACAGTGCCTGTCAGCACGGCAGCCTTGGCTGTGGTTCTCAGTGTGAGTGTGAGCTGAATGTGGCTGGGAGAACACACGCCCACCTCCTAATCTGATGACACTCGTGAAGCTTTGCCTCACACTTCTCCGGAGCAGCCTACAAAACAGCGTGGGTTCAGCAAGGCGTGAAGAAACATAACGTGGGAATTCTTCAAGCTCTTGCCATCCCTGCAAACTCTGGGGCTCAAAGCCCAACTGACGTTCCCACCCACTGGGGCAGAGGCCTGCTTTCTGCGTGGCCTGTGCGGCAAGTTGAGACCACTCAGAGGGGGTCATCAAAGGGCTGAACTCGGTGGGGCTGTGGACTGAGGCTCATTCTTACTCTTGCCAAGGCTGACCAAGAACCCACTGGCCTTGGAGCCACGATTCTCCTGCTCCCACCTCTTGAGCTCTGTAATCACAAATGGGCACCACCACATTTGCCAGGGTTTGCAAATGAACAAATCCAGGCCCAGTAAGGTTTAAGTGTGGTGAGGACGTGGAACCCCGAGTTCAGGACTAGCATCCATGCCTTCATTCATTCATTTATGTAGGCATTGGTTTATTTCACAAACTTTTGCTTAATATTTTCTCCGAGCCAGTGCTGTGAGAGGTAAATTGGGGTAAACGATGACTCAGCATCCTTGGCCCTATCTTCCAGGAGTTCATGGGTTAGGCTGCATGTGACTGCGGATGCCATGTACTTCCAGAAGATTTGCTTTGCTAATCCTGGCTCATG